TCTTGCTTTATGACCAGTCACAAATATTAGAAGACAAGTGCAATCCACACGCTTATGGAATAATTGTTAAGTAGTGTACTTTAAACAACAATTTTTTTCATTGAATAAGTATCATCACTTGTTACAGGATTTGTACGCATCTTGAAAAACCCTGGAATGTTTAGAGTCGTTGTACAAGGCCTTGAAAGTCCTTGAAATTCTCTTTCATTCATTTTGGTCCTTTAAAGTCCTTATTTGAATTGAGGAACATTTTCAAACCTTTAAAATACTTGGGCAAATACCAGTTTGAAGCCAAAAGAATAAAATGACATTGATGAAATGAAGGTCAGGTATGGACGGCCTGTGATGCGAAAGGCTAAGGTCTAGAATGATTACAAGCCATCTTGTACCTTGATTTGTCCCGTGCTGCAGGGGAGTAGTTTGAGATTTTAAATATGTACACACAGAAAGAAAGTCTTGGGGGAAGTGAGGGCAATTGATCCTCCAGAAACGTTTTGGACTTTAGGATTTCGAAAATGCAATCTCCAGCGTTTTCCACAGGACACATTTGGTAAATAAAATGAACTAAAATACCGTAATTATTTGGGTGTTTGTTTTTTTACCTGTCTCTGGTGTTAAGGTAAGGTACAGTGTTAACGAAAAAAGGGTAAAACAATGATGCAATGAAGGAGTTTACAAGCAAAGGGCGAGACATGTACTCTTCAGAGCGGGGAAAGGCTGTGATAACGCCAACTATGTCAAATACTAACACAAAGACACCATAAATGATAAATGAAAATACTGTACTTTCAGTAAATATTAAAATAGATTTTTTGCCAGATTTCAGCTGTAAGTAGGGGTGTATGTGCGTACACGGACGCTACGCCCCTAATACTGTGTTGGTCAAGGGGACTGAACAAAGACTAGGCACTAGGGTGGATAAGCACTCACAAACAAATTTTTACAAAAAAAATTGTTGCCCTTAAGAACAAAAGCCTGTTGTTCTCGGAATATTTTCATAGTTTATTTGGAACCCGTGTAATAAAGTAGGTCCTTGAAATTTAAAAATGGGGTTCTTGAAAGTCCTTGAGTTTTACTTTGAAAGAACTATACAACCCCTTGCTATCTGAGTGTATTTTTAAGCGATTGTTGGATTCAGGTACCATTCACCGTTTTAGAAAGGAGAAAAGCACAAGACCCCAAATGTGTCCTGCAATTGCATCTGGAATCATTACTGGGGACAGGCTATTCAGTAGACTTGCCTACAAGTTGAGCTCAAATTTTTTCACGAGCGCGAGCGGTAGATTTTTTTATGTCTTTTGCGGCAAAAGCGAGCAAGAGAGCGAGAGCTCTTCGTGCTGGGGCCAACTACCGGAACCGGAAATGAGAAGCGAAGGACTTTGAGAAAGTCTGTCCCCAGTAACAGTCCCAGAAATGTTTCGCAAAGTTGGCTTGGGCCAATTTCTTTCCTGTTTCTAAAGTGATGAATGGAGGCTAGGTACCAAAGCTCATTCCCATGTGACAGCAGGAAGAAAAGTGACCCTGCAAAACGTGTTCAGCCAGTTTTGCCTGCTAACATATTCCAAGAAATGGCAAAGAAACAAATTGGAGACTGTAATTTCAGGAGTCTACTGTACTTAACCAATAATTATTATACATGGAGATTTTAAAAACACTATTTGAAGTGACTTAATCCCTTTCCTTGCCAACATCAGCGTACGGGGCGGGGGCGCTGGGGGGGCTGCAGCCCCCCCTGTCGGGAAAAAAATAGTATTATTCGGGCAAAACTGATGTACCGTTCGGGCAAAGACACAGTAAGGTGAGACACCTGCTGCAGCGAACGACAGCTCATAACAGACGGCAAAAGACCACTTTCGTATCACAGTTTATTACACATGTTTTGACAAAGTCGTCAGTGAACTTCAATCAAGGTTTGAGGGCAATGACCTGGAGGTTTTGTGCGCATTGGGTGAAATCGTATTCAGCCGTTCTCCAAGCATCAACAACATCCAAACTGTATGAAATTTCTATGGCGTGGATAGTGAAATGCTATCAAGTGAGAAGTCAATCTTTGAAAACTACGACTGCGGGGGCCCATGCCAGAGAAAAAACGCAGCCGTGATGGTAAAGACCATGCATCAAATGCATCAAAATAAAGACCGTGCATCAAAATGGTCTCCATTACATTTTACCTGGTCTATATAAAGTTATCTCCATCCTGGCCACAATTCCTGCAACCTCGTGCTCTGCTGAAAGGTCTTTCAGCGCCCTTCGCCGCATCACGACATTTTTAAGATCCACAATGGGACAAGACCAACTTCGCAGTATCGCCGTTATTAACAGTGAAAGACAGTATGCAAACAAGACAATGCAGAGTGACATGCAAAGGATTATTGACACATTTGGGTGTCGAAGTAATCGTTCTTCATACTTCTTTTAGAGTTCAAATTGGTACGTTTTATCTCTCACTTCATGGTTTTGTATTTTAGAAATGTTCATCTCGATTTACCGAAATATTTGCACTATTTTGAACGCCCGTACTCTCACGGCACGGCGAAGAAAACTTGACGTCACGAAAGAATCATCTTGTGCATATGTGACCAACAAGTTTCATTCGGGCAAATTATGTTCAGCCCCCAACAACATTTTTCCCGTACGCCGATGCTTGCCAATTACTCGTCAACAAAATAAACTTGGGTAAGCTAAGGGTTCTTCGGCACCCCACCATACAAAAATTTCTGGAGTAACTTTCCCCAAATTTCCATGGCAAGAAGAGTCAACCACAATGAGTTTTCTATCTCTTCTTGTACCAAAGTAAAAGAAAATAACCGTTGCATTCGCCATTTTTACATCTCTCACAATACACCTCGTTTAATTTGCCCCCCCTATCGCTTCAATATTTACTCACTTTTTCGCCCATGATAGACAATTTAGAAGCTTTCAATCGACACAAAATTCGGGGAGTAAATAGTACACTGATTAATTATTGTACTAAAAAAGTTTTTAATTTTGTTCCAATCGCTGTTTCCCTGAAAGTAGCATAGAAATTACAAAAAGAGCTTTGCTTTGCTTTTTACCCTAATTTATACGTTTTCATGTGTTTCGAAATCGCGCTAATGTACTTGCGTTCAGCGACTTCCAGGGTGTATAAGGGTCATTTGCAAAACGAATAATTGATAACACCTTTTCGGAAACACCCAAAAAGTAGCAAATTTGTCTGCATTAAGTCCAGTCTTCAGTACATGCATGATTTATACCCTTTTAATAGAAATTCCAAGATATCTCGAAATTTCTCTTATAGATTTTTGTGAGACTTCGCACAGCAAAAGATATTTATCCAAATGGTAAAGCATGTCAAAAGAAAATGCCGAACAGGGCTACAATTCGATTAAAGGTAAAACCATAGCCTGCGTAGCAAGCGTTTCCTCGCGAGTTCGTCGAGAAAGTTGGGACGATTGCAAAAAAAAAGGAATGACGGGGGAGGGGGAGGGGAATGAAGGAATAATTCATTTTTGCCAATTGCTTAAATTGGATAATTTACTGCGACGATCATTCTTCACTTTCATCTACAACCGCAATTCAAAAATGAATTATTTCATATATACTTCGCATCATTTCACTCCTCACGGGAGATATGAACTCAATAAACTGACCTCGCTCCCAATGTGTAGCTTCATAGCTCAGTTGGTAGAGCAACGCACCGGTAACACGGAGGTCACGGGTTCGGATCCCGTTGAAGCCCTGATTTTTTTTCAGGCTTCGTCTTTCCAGTTGCTTAAATTGGAAAATTTACTGCGACGATCATTCTTCACTTTCGAAGATTTAAAGAGTTTCAACGAAAAACAGGTTACCTTTTACCTTACTTAGAATGTGTGTTACGTCTCTCCTGCCCGGGGGTACTCCCTTATAGGGGCTTAATGGGGACGTGCGGCCCGCCAGGGCATGTATTTCGGGATTTTTGTCTTAAACAGGGTATTGATTTTATCAATCTTTGTCTTTAACAGGGTATCTTTTCTTAGACAGGAGCCCATAACCCTGTTCTTAGACGATAAAGAGCCTGCGCTTATGTTCTACGAATGTCTTAAACTGGGTATCAAAAATCGGAATTCTGTCTTAAACAGGGTAGGAAAATCAGCGATTTTTGTCTTAAACAGGGTCAGGGTATGAGGGGCCGAGCCGCACCTCCCCGCTCAAGGATATATCGAGTAACCCCCCGGGCTCTCCTGTGTGGTCCATGGACGATTCATGGCCGTTTTATGGGTTACTGTAAAATTCCGAAAATAAGCCCCTCCTCGTATAAGCCCCTCCAAATATAAGCCCCCCTAAACTCGTAAGGTTAGCATTAGATAACATCGCGTGAAGCCAGATTGGACACCTTATGAATTTTACACAACGCATTATTTTCATAGTCGAACGAGACTGGAATGTAGAATGAGGCTAGAATTGCTGAAGAAACCAAAACTACAGAGCGCCAGTTATGGAGAGAACACAGTAGAGGCTTAAGCACTGATCTGCAGTGATTGGGATTAAGCACTGAACTGAAAACGGTTAGCTTTCAAATATTTTAATGGGGTACGGCATATATAAGAACATGTATATTTTAAAAATTCATGAAAATTACTGGATTTGGCAGCTAGTCCTCGATGGTGTAGTGGATATGGATGTAGGCTATAAAGCAAGTGACCCTAGACTGCAAAACAGTCCAGTGACCCGGGTTCAAAGCATCACAGTGGAGTTTTTCTATTTCACTTTAATATTACACAGTAAAGTTGGAAGAAACAATCTGACTTCAGCCGATGTTACCTAATGCTAACCAACTCGCAACGCAAAAAACCCTCCACTAAATTGCCCCTCCAATATTGCCCCCTCCCCCCCGGGGGCTTGTACTTGGAAATTACCCTCTTAAAACAAAGCAAAAACGGTAAATTTCCTTCCAACTGTAAGGCTTGCCCCATCGATTTTGAAACGCACATTTCCCTCCGTAGATAAGCCCCTCCGAATATAAGCCCCTTCAAAAATAAGCCCCTCAAAAAGGGCCTTCGAAAAAATAAGCCCCGGGGCTTATTTTCGGAATTATGTGGGACGAGGTTGATTTCGAGATTGGGCTACCTGTGGTTTGAAGCGGCTGACTGTCATGTGACGCTCATAGCGTCACAGGAAATGACCTTGAAAGGAACGAAACAACAGCAATCATGATGGCGCTACGAGTCTTTCTCTTTACATTCCTGTTCCGAGAAGCAGTATCTCTGGTAAATGTAGATCCAAACATGAAATCGTTTTCGTATGCTATTAAGAGCGGCGTCCTAAATTCTAGCAAAGAGCAAACACTTTACGAGCATAACACAGGCCAACCTGGTGTGATTACAGAGCAGTGGTTCACAGGCTATGGGATGGACGAAAATACCAGGATTAGAATCTATATCGACGGCGAAACAGAAGCAAGTTTAGATTTTAACCTGTATCTGGCTCATGGTATGGGATTTGGTGACCAGAATGAGACACCAAATATTCCATGGGGCACGAAGCGGCTTGGACATGAAGCTAAAAACGGTGCAGTCTACAACACGTTTCGAATTCCTTTTGGCAAATCATTCAGAGTTACAGCGACAAGACCAAATCGTGCTACGTTCTGGTACATCATTCGTGGCGTAGAAAATTACCCTGTTGTTGTGGGCGACCTTGTGCTTCCACCAAACGCAAGATTGAAGCTCTATAAAAGGGAAAATGTTTTCATGATGCCTCTAGAGTTCTTGAATATGGCACACGTCACTGGCTCTGCAGGAGCAGTGTTCTTGGTGACTTTAGATGTTGCCAGCTCTGACCTTACCTTTCTTGAAGGCTGCTTCCGTGCGTTCATCGATGGCAGTAACAAGACAATGTGGCTTTCATCTGGTACTGAAGACTTTTTCCTATCTGCATTTTATTTTGATGCCCCAAAGTTATTTCAAGCGCCGAATTCTGGAGTGACTTACAAAGACAAAGGTAGAGTCAGCGCGTACAAGTTTTTTGAAAACGACCCTTTGCTGTTTAGCAAATCGCTGGACCTTTGGTGGCGATGTGCTGATCTTGATATCACTAAAGACAAGCATGGCTGCCCTAACCGTTGGCCCAATCCTAGCCCGTATGCTGACCAAAAGCAGTTTTACAACAAAGCGAAGCTATCCAAGGAAGAAAAGATTGCCGTTGAAGAAATTAGGAAAGGCTTGAAGAAGAACGAAGAGTTACCCAAGAACTGGGCAGCCATGGAGAAAGAAAGGATTGCCAAAGAAGGAAAGCCATATGTGTATGCTACTTTTCACCCAGCTAACGTGACGACATTCACCTGGGTGTATGAATGGTAAACGTTTGGCCTTACACATTGAGGTAAATTATATGGGGACGGAGTTATTAGGAATAAATAATAATAGTATTGTAACATAGAGGGCAAAATGACTTAATTTTGATTGGCTAATAAAGTGCAATTTGGAAATGAAGAAGGCATAAATGTGACTAGTCTGAAATGCCTGTGGGGTGCTCAGGAATGAGATGTCTGAATTTCAAGCGTCACCTACTTTTGTGAATATGGTAGGTATTTTCTGATTGGCTTATACCTTTCAGGAATACAAAACCTTTCATTGTTGGCTGAATGCGCTGAGGAAAACATGCTGGTCTGAAATAGTGTTGACGGGTTAACAAGACTAATTATGAATTGCTGTGTGAAATGTGACCTTGGAGTTACCCTCTCTTCACAAAGTGAAGACCTTTTAATAGTAACAACTGACTAGGAACCTTTTAATTCCAAAACTGCAGTCTTGCTTTAGGCACTTGTAACAAAAAATGTACTACCACGACAGTTGCATAGACTATTAAGCTAAAACAAAAGTAATTGCCAATGGAGAAAGTGTAGGATGTTGATCTCCCACCCACAGGAAATAATTACTCAATACCAGCTTCATGACCTATAAATTTTAGACTCAGAGCGGCAAAAGTAAGATTTGCTCAGTCAGAGTTTAACATTACTCCGTGTACTGCATAACCTAAGCGAAAGAAAGAAAAAAGGAACCTCTGTAGTTCAGGCTAACTCCAAGTCCAAGTTTACATTTCACACTATCACAAGCTTATGAGTCGTGTTTAGCCTGTTAACACTTCATTTCAAACCCAAAAAGTTAAACTACCCCATAAATTTATTCTGGAGGTTTTATTGTCAAGCTTCACAGCACTCAAAACACACAACTCTTAATATCGACCATATTGCATGCTGCTGTTCAGGGTTCCGTGACATATGGCTGCCAACTTGTCAAGAAATGGAAGTTAGGCAAAAATGCATAAAGTACTAGGTGACGTCACTAGACAGTATTAAAACGCTTGGAATTCAGACGTCTCTTTCTCCTTGTGCCCCCCACAGCTTAGGGTGTGGAGATGTGTGACATTTCAGATTAAAATGTGAGCTTCTCCAGGAAAACTCCCACTAATGCTGAGGACGCTGCATAGTGTCCCTTTACATGCCAACGTCTGATTTACACCCCACTTGTTGTAGGAGAGGAAAACTGGCACAGTTTTGTTGATGATTAATTTTATTTTTATTGTTTGTTCTATTACAGGCAACCCTTCAATATTGGGACTTAACAGAAAGAGAGCAGTGATGACAGTTTGTGAGAAGAGATACTTCCATTTCAATTTGTTAATGTATATATGTAGGTGTAGGGAATGTGCACAAATAATTTAATGTCACATGAATTACATTCTTAAAAGGTGCCCTCAATTTTTTTCTTGTTTATTGTTTTAATCCCTTTGAGCGAAAACTTCGCAGGATAACGGATCCCAAATAATAATGTATTTTTTGGTTATTTATGCCGTGTTTAGACTTGAGCGTGCTACCGAAGTATTGGAGTTAACTTACCTAGGTAAATATTTTACGTGTGTAAACGCCAACTGATACCCTGGTAAACACCGCTCAAGACAATAGAAAGTTAACTTAGGTAAAAGTCCGGTTTACCCTGCGAGCAGGCATGGTTAAGGTCGGTAACCAAGGTTTGGATGACAGATACATCCGCTTGCGGTCGCATAGAATTTCACATCCTCTGGTGTCGGGATTGCGTCAGTCTCATTCGATCACGTTTTCGAACGTACGTCTTGATATTCTAAAGTTCTCTTTCCACCATTCTTCAACAAAATTTCCGTTTAATAGAGTTTCAAACCAGAATTGGTTTCTCGGCCACGACCACGCACGTCTAACGTGCCTTGTCTTGCGAAGGGCAATTTGTAGCAGAAATAATCGCTTTCGCCTGGACCTCTTTAGGTGCTGCAAAAGTAAGAGCTGCTGCAATCTCGATTCCTGGGTTTGCTCATCAAGAACAAGAAAATAAAACGCGAGGACTACAAGAGCCACAGCTTCTCTATTAAACGCGAGCATTTTATGCGTGGATTTAGAATTTGTCACCAATTCGATTAGATTGTGATTGATGACAGATTTACCTTAGTTATTTGAGCCCGTATAAACACTGTACAAATGTACCAGGGTTTAGTCAGTTAATGTTTACCTTGGTAAACGCTCGAGTGTAAACACAGCATTAGTTTTGATGGTTTTTGACATGACAGTGATGTCATAAGTTTGACAGACCGTTAGGGATAAAATGTGATCAGAATTAAAGTTAAGCGGAGAAATGATAAAAACAGTTCCATTATCCAACAAAGTTTCATCTCAGACAGAAAATTGTTTTATACAAAAGTAGTTAGTAAATGGCCCATTGGTGTTGGCACCTTATCCAATGAACCTGTATCATATCAAGAATTCAAAATTTGGGGGAAATGAGTTGAATAAGTGGGGGATGAATAACATTATTTTGTAAACTGTAGAAATGTTTTCTTTGTTATTCTATTACTCTTGTAGCATACCAATGATAGGGATTAGTATGTCAGGGAATTTTTTTCTGTTCTACTCATCCATTTGATGGACACTTGTACAATGTAGATCGTCTGAACATAAAATTCACTTGTCCATTAAATGTTGAAAAATCCAAGGATATAAAATACAACAGCAGCCACCGTACACTAAGTCATGATACAGTATTGCTTGGTTTTGCAATGGTTTCTTTGCTGAAGCAAAACTTTTTTATATTTTTTGTAGGGGGATTTTGATAATATAAGAAAAACAATCATCTTGACAACGATTAACTTTTCAATATTTTATTCTGTGCAGGCACAGTACACTTAACGTGTCTATTCAGACAATTGCTTCACAAGTTTAAGTATTCCCAGAGGAAAAACAACTTCTTTTTTCAGATGGGTGTTTTTTTTTTACTTTTACTACAGTACTTAATTTGCTTCAAAATAGAAATAATATTTATAGAGGGAGCCCAACTTGCCAAGCCAGTTTTCAGTGGGGCCCTTTTCATTAGTTGTACTAGTTACTTGTTTGTCTTATCTCAGCGGACTTGTTTTGCCAATGCACTGGAATAATGAGGGATTTTAAGGGACAAAGCAGACTACAAACAGCGTATTTCAATGGGGGTAGTTTGTCCTGATGAAAATCACAAATCCAGTCTTCATCATTGTTTCAGTCCAGTAGTTATGCATTAATTAATACAAATTTGTAAGTAATACAAGCACAGTCAAACCTCCTTAACATAGACCCAAAGGGACCAAACCAAGTGTCTGCATTGCAGATGTGTCAGGCTTATTATAGAGGTACAGAATGTGTTGAGCTTGGTATGTTTGGGGCCAAGAGGCCAGAGGTCCCTTCCAGAAATACTTAGGGTAAAATAAACCATGCTGGCTGTTCAGAAAGCTCCCACTTTATGCTTCTCGAATGCATCACTGTTGGTGCTTTGCCTCTCACACTTGCAGTTTGGCCACTAATAATCTCTGGCACCAAGGGTATCTCTACTGCTGTTACAGCTGTATTAGGTGTCTTTAAAGGGGGTTTGACCATTTGTTTTTGAATTAAGTAGACTTCATAGTATGTGTGCCTTTAAAAACTACTTTTTTGCCAAACAAATAAAATTGTGAACATGTGAAATATTTGGGAATGTTTTATTTTTGC